CGAATGGTACCTGGAGGATGTGTGTAGATTACACAGATCTTAACAAGGCATGTCCGAAGGATAGTTATCCCCTACCAAAGATCGAAAGCCTGATTGACTCTACAGCCGGCCATGCCTTGATGAGTTTTATGGATGCCTACTCAAGCTTCCACCAGATTCCCCTATGGAAGAAGGATCAGGAAAAGACGGCCTTTGTCATTGATCAGGGGTTGCACTGTTACACGGTGATGCCGTTTGGCTTGAAAAATGCGCCTACTACCTTCCAACGAATGATAAACACGATTTTCATCAATCAAATCGGAAGGAATGTAGAGGCGTACATTGATGACACGATAGTCAAATCCAAGCAGTAGGCGGGTCACATAGCTGTCCTCCGAGAAACCTTCACCACCCTCAGGCGGCACAAGGTCATGCTTAATCCCAAGAAGTGTGTCTTTGGTGTTGAGTCTGGGAAGTTTCTCGGATTTCTGATTGATCAAAGAGGCATAGAGGCCAATCCGGATAAGGTACAGGCGGTGATTGACATGCAGTCACCTCGCACTGTCAAGGAGGCCCAGAAGCTAACCGGTTGCCTGGCGGCACTAGGAAGATTCCTCAGCCGGTCAGGTGACAAGTGCCTTTACTTCTTCCAAGCAATCAGGAAGAGGTCTAGATTTGAATGGGGGAAAGAAGCTAAGGCGACATTTCAGAGGTTAAAGCAACACTTGCATTCTTTGCCGAGGCTAGTGAGCCCCTTGCCTAAGGAGGTTCTCTACATGTACTCAGGAATGCTGAGCTCCGGTACCCAATGATCAAGAAATTTGGGCTGGCTCTTTACAAAGCTGTCAAGCGGTTGAAGCCCTACTTCTTGGCTCACCCGGTGACCGTCTATACTGATCAGCCACTCAAGCGTCCAATGACTACCATAGAGTCATCCGGCAGAATGATCAAGTGCGCTGTTGAAATGCAAAGCTTGGAGATAACTTTTGAACCTAGGCGGGTAGTGAAAGGTCAGGCGTTTGCCGACTTCATTGTTGAAATGACTAGGCCGGCACAACCGGAGAATACCGATCAGGTTTGGAAGTTATTCGTAGACGGAAGCTCTACCTCGAACGGTTGTGGTGTAGGCGTAATTTGCAAATCTCCGGAAGGAGATACTTATGAATATGCACTACAGTTCAAGTTTCAAGCTTCAAAAAATGAAGCTAAGTATGAAGCCCTGCTAGCCGGAATGCGCATGTGTAAGGCGGCAGGGGCAAGGAAAGTTGACGCCTGTTCTAATTCACAATTGATTGTTAGCCAATTCAATGGTGACTATGAAGCCACCCATCCGGCAATGATCAAATACCTTCAGGAGGTCAAAGATAAGGCGGGGACCCTTGACGAATCCCATCTGAGTCAGGTGCCACGGTCAAAAAATAATCAGGCGGATGCTCTATCCAAATTGGCCTCATCCGCCACTTGTGATGCGCCTAGGTCAGTCTTCTGGGAGGTCATGGAAAAAAGAAGTATTGAGCATGACACCATTGGAATTATCGACCGAAGCTCTACCTGGATGGACCTCATCTGGGATTATTTGGTACACGACACCTTGCCGGATGCCTCTTCAGAAGCGGCAGCACTTAAAAAACGGGCTTTGAGCTTTGAAATGTACAAGGGAGAACTCTTCAGAAAGGGTTACCTCCAGCCGTTACTGAAGTGTGTTACCCCAGAAAAGGGAAAAGAAGTGCTAGAGGATCTGCATGCTGGCTTCTGTGCTTCGCATATAGGCGGCAGGTCTCTAGCAAAGAGGGCCAGGCGGCAAGGTTACTTTTGGCCCACCCTTGAGGCAGACGCCATGGAATTGGTGAAGAAATGTGACAAGTGCCAGAAATTTGGCCGGCTCATACACCGTCCGGCAACTGACCTTACGGCAATCTATAGCCCAGTTCCATTTGCAAAATGGGGTATGGACATTCTGGATCCTTATACGCCAGCAACAGGCAGCCAAAGATACATTTTGGTGGCTGTAGACTACTTCACCAAATGGGTCGAGGCAGAGGCGGTCAAAGGCATCAAGACAAAGGATGTCATCTCCTTTATTTGGAGGAACATCATCACCCGGCTTGGGGTCCCTATGTCTATGGTGTTTGATAACGGTCCGCAATTTGAAACGCCTACCCTCAAAAATTGGTTGGGAGATCAGGGGATCTCACATTGTTTTGCATCCGTTGGCCGGCCCCAAGCAAATGGCCAAGTTGAAGCCTTCAACAAGCTCATCTCAGACGGCATAAAAAAGAAGATTGAAAGAGCCGGTGGACTTTGGGCGGATGAGTTACCTCACGTCCTTTGGGCCATCAGAACAACCAAAAAGGGGGCAACCGGTGAAACCCCGTTTATCATGACTTACGGCACTGAAGCCGTCTTCCCAATTGAGCTCTATGAGCCAACACTCCGAGTCATACTCTATGACGAAGAGGCTAATTGGGAGGCCATGCGTCTTGCATTGGATTCTAAACCAGAGCGCAGGGGCAATGTTGCTTTGCGTCATGAGATATACCGTCTGAGAATGACGAGGGCTTATAACAGAAGAGTGCACAAATGGCCCCTCAAAGTAGGGGACTTTGTGCTACGAAAAATGGATTCAACCGGTAGGGTAAATGAACAAGGAAAGCTAACCCCGAACTGGGAAGGCCCCTACCGGATTTTTTAAGAAATTAGAGACGGCACCTACCGCCTGGAAACACCAGATGGCAGGAAGTTAGCCAAAACCTAGAATGTAGACAACTTGAAAAAGTACTACTTCTAGGGGAATTTGTAATTATTTTTTGTAAATGGAGTAAATGAACAAAAAGATACTTTATTTCAATTTTTTGTATAAAGTCCCGTGTGCAATGCACAACCGGGCACCTTTTAAAGACCCATGTGCAAAGCACAACCGGGCACCATTCAAAGACCCATGTGCAAAGCACAACCGGGCACCATTCAAAGTCCTATGTGCAATGCACAACTGGGCACCTCTTAAGTCCCCTGTGCAATGCACAACCGGACACGCTAAGTACCTAACTTAGCCGTCTAAAGGCACAAAGCCAATATATCTTAAACAGTCTGCTTTAAATACAAAACAGGCATTCGGCGACGCCCATCCGAGTGAATTCGTTGAAGAGAACATCTCCCTTCCGGGTGGTACATTGTTCTATATATGCGTCATATTCTCAAGCAGCTTCAACAATCTAGGTTGAGGATAACCCATGTACGTTTGAATGACCAATCGCAAACAAGATAAATCCGGCTATTGCCCCAAGGCAATACAGACGGTAACTTAAATCTTGCTAAGCAGCCGGCTTTGCCCAAAAGCACTACAGCCGGACCCCGCTTCTATCCCGAACTTCACTAAATCATCTTAAAATTGAAACCGGCTATTGCCCCTAGGTAATACAGCCGTACATTGACGAAAATGTCAACTACAGGCGGTAATCCACATATTTGTACATAACCGGATACCATTCAAAGAGCATATGTTCGGTATAGTTCCGCCTGCATGCCACCGTAGACGTTGAATTGAGCCAGCGTAGCCGGCAAGTTCAGCTAACCAACCCTGTTGTACAACAGCCCAAGACTGCCTAATCGTTTGTCCGGATGTTTATGGACGGCTTCCTGCTTAGAGTTAGCATCAACTTTAAGCAAAAAACCATCCAGGGGCAAGCAGGGTTCACACATCTGGCATATCGCATGATTTGATGATTAATGCAAAGCAAAGAGCAACAAATAAAGAGAATTGAAAATACACAAAGCAAATCGACACAGTCGGTACAAATATATTAAAAAATATTCCAAATGTTAACCGGACCCCTGTTCGGGAAGAGTGACACAGAAATTCACGGCTCAGGCCGGTTAGAAAAAGGAAACGAAAATAAAAGAAAAATAAATCCTACTGCTGCTGCTGAGTTTACTGTTGCTGCTGCTCCGGCTGCTGGTCCTGACCGGCGTTAGGGGCATCTTGGGTCTGCTTGGCTTGAGTTCCCTCACCCGGCACCTCTCCTTCTGTCTGCTCCTCCCCTACGCCGGCCCACTCATCAAACGACGCCGGTTGCTGAAGCCCGAGAACTTGAGCATCAAATACTTCATTTGCGTATTTGTACCTCAAGTCGAAAAAGGCGTAGTCGGTCTCTAGATGGATCATGGACCACGCCATCTTCATGCGTGCTTCGCAGTCACGCTCGTTCTCGTTGACCAGCCAGGTCTGCTCAGCCGCTGGCTGGTCCAGAGCCTCCTTCTTGGACTTAACCAAATCATTTTTGGCTTTGTCCAGCTCCCCCTGCAGCCTGGTGACCTCCTCCTTCAACCCAGTCTTCTCCTTCTCCGCATCCTTCAGAGCTTAGATGTCGGTTTTGAGCTGGTCGATCTGGAGTTGTCGGTCAACAGTCGTCTTGTTGGCAGTGTCAGCAGCAGCCGTTAGCTGCTGGATGAGTTCCTCCTGTTTCATCTCCCACGCTTTAGTGTGGATTACAAGCATTAGGGAGTTGTATTGACATACATCAATTAATTCGACTGCCCGTTTCTGGGCATCCCTTACCTCCTCTTTCTTCTTCCGCAAGGGGGCTTTCAACCCATCCACTCTCAGCATGGCCTGCAAGATCAACCGGTAATGGAATTAGCAAAATTAAACTTAAAAGCAAATCTTGCACAAAAGTACCCCATCCGGTAAAAAAGCAGATTGCCCAAAGCTACTGCATTCGGTAACTTACCTCAGCAAGCAGTGAGGTTATCCGGTCAAGGTTGACCTGGCTGACACCCGGCACAACCTCCCTCTCGGACATAGTCAAGGTCCTTATCATTCCCCTGGCATAGTTTTGCATGTCCGGCCAGCGAGAAGCGGTATGTGTATCATGAGACATATCGGTTAAGTGTTGGAAATAAACGACTCCTACATTCAACCAGTTCCCGACCGAGTCTCCCGACTGAGAAGTATGAGATTTGACTCGAACTGGCCCAAGCGGCCAGGGGGGGTCAAAAGCGGAGTCCATACCTTGGTCATCAGGCTAAGGGGTGCCACCACCCCCAGTCGCATTGGAGCCGGAAGCAATAGCCGGCACCCGGCTAGACGAAGCAGGCTCCCTAGATCCGGTCTCAGCCGGCTCACAGCTCAGGCCTAGACTTTGCAGACTTTTTCCTGTAGTAATTGGCCTCTCAGGAGCCGGTATTCTGCCGGCTGATGATGGAGTAGGGCCACCTAGGACCCTGCGCCTTTGTGGAGGCGGTTGAGGAAGCTCCCCACCCGGTCTCACCATCTGGCGAATTGAGCGGGGAACGTTCTGGCTTCCCGTCTGTAAAAAAAAAAAAAAAAAAAAAGTCAGAATCAAGGTTATTGACAAGATAGCCAGAAGGCATTATGGCAGCCGATGCTTACCCCACTGCCCCGGGCAGCAAGTTGGGCCTGTTTCTGCTCTAGCTGTTCTTTCCTAATTTCAGCGGCTGACTTAGCCGGCGTCATTTCAGGAGGAGTCATTTCTAATCCTTTCTCTACAAAATAACAAGAAAATGTTAGCATCATTTGCATATCATACAAACGGCATAAATTGCCAGTTAAGCAATAAACCTTTGTCCCAAAATGTGCTGAGACCGCAGGCGGAGAGGAACGCCTCGTTTTTGAACAAGTCCGGATGAGGGACCCAGAATAGAGGGACGATGATTTGTGTCCCATCATCCAAAGGCTCGGTAGTTTTCTTAAACAGCCCCGGCTCCATTATGGCATCCCAAGCCTCAGCCGGAACCCTTGGTAGGGCGCACTTCTTTCCTAAAAGAGCCGGGTTCTTATTGTACCGGCGCATCCGGTGATTCGCCGCCATTGAAGGGGAAGAGACGTAATAAAACTTGCTCTTCCAGCTCGTCCACTTGGAGGGTTTCTCCAAGGTCATCATGTATTCCGGATGCGTGGTAAGAGTGTACTAGGCATTCCAGCCGCTTGGGCACAACTTAAGTAATGCATATGCGTGAACGCCTCCTAGATAGGCGTCACGTCCTGCATCTCGCAAGCGACAATATAGCCGATGATGTTCACCCATGAATTGGGTGTAAGCTGCCAAACCCCCAAGTCGTAGCCTCTTAAAATGGCTTTAATGCATCTATGAAGGGGGAACCGGAGGCCAGCTTTGAATGCCGCCTCATAGCAGCCGAAGTAATTGTCGGCACGCTCTAAGTCATCCTCCCAGACAACTGATGAGCTCGCAGGCGGGACACCCAACTCCCAGCCATCCCCTACCGGACGCTTTTTCAAAAAAGCTTCGAGTGTTGCGTTTAATGTCACAACATCCCAGTCGCTCATGTGCGCCTCCAATGGATTGTTGATTGAAGGCCAGCTGTATGCCTCCTCATCTTGTTCTGGGGCATCCGACGTCATTGTGGACTCTGAAGATCCGGCTTCCTGATCGATTTCTTCACCGCTTGAGCTCCCGGACTCTTCCAAAATCTCATCACCAGGCGTACTTGGAACGCCTGGTTGATCAAAAGGAACGTCTTCAACCGGCGTACCGGCTGAATCATCTGATTTATACTCGGGGTCAACAGCCGTTTTCCTAGTCCGAGCCATTCTGTCCTGCACATGAACAGAGACGGTCGGATTCGCAGAAATGAAAGGGTGTTCCATGCACCTCCAGACGGCATCCCCAGTCCTAGATTCAGCCGTATCCGGTGACCGGTTGACAACTACCCTAGGCCGTGCCATGCGTGTATTGGGAGAGTCCATTGTTCTCTAACCTATACAACCGGTAAACTCAAGAGGTTACAAAAGGGGCAAGGATGATACCTTGTATTTGTGAAGACGGTTGAAGAAGACTAGTGTTGAGATTCCAAGATGTGGCTCGAAGATACCACAAGCAGAGAAGTCCGTTTGTAATTTAAACCTGGAGCACAGATGCAAACAGTTAGGCATTTTGGAAGAAAATCACCCAAAGATACCCCAAGCGGTATCATAATAGCTTTCTCAAAGATACCTTAGGCGGTATCAAGGAAGCTTGCTCAAAGATACCACAAACGGTATCACCAAGTTTTATTCAAATACACCCCATGCGGAATCATTGAAGCTCACTTAGAAATGCCCCAGACAGGACATCTCCGCCTGAGGCTCCATTGAATGGTTATCAGAAACCAAGGATGCCTCAAGCGTTAATTATTGAAGGTTGCTTAAAGACCCCCCCAGACGGCAAGAGAGCCGGCTGAGGGTGTTTGAAGAGCAGGTCATGAGCAAGCTATGAAGATCATTGTTCAAACACCCCCTAGGCGGTATAAGCCCGGCTAAGGGTGCGAAGTATCCAAGTCTTGGAAGCATAGCTTGCATATACCCCAGACGGTACATAACCGTCTGTGGGTCCAGTTTTGAAGAGCAATTATTTGAAGACACCCCAGACGGTCCAAAACCGTCTGTGGTCTGGATTTGAAGAATCTTGTTTGAAGATACCCTAGGCGGCTCCTTGCCGTCTGAGGGTCTATGAAATGGGTTTTTTGTTTGAAGGTGGTCCAGACGGAATTTTTCCGGTTGAGGTTCTACTGGATGCAAAATATTATTGACTGAAGATACCCCAGACGACATGTATCCGTCTGTGGGTCTTTTGAATGCAATTCCTTTAAGACCATTGATTACAGATATCACAGGCGGTATATCACCGCCTGTGGTCCTATGGAATGCATTATTAAAGGCCAAGGTTTCAAGGTACCCCAGACGGTCCAAACCGTCTGTGGGTCTACCATTTGAAAAGCCAGGTCTAAAGATGCCCCAGATGGTATGTAACCGTCTGTAGGTCTTTTGAGTGCAACTACATGAAAACCAGTATAAAGGTGCACAGTCGGTATCCACCGTCTGTGGGGCTATGGTATGCATTCAGAGTATAGTCCATTGTTTAAGGATACCCCAGACGGTCCGCCACCGTCTGAGGGTCTATCTTTGAGGATCATGGTTTGAAAATTCCCCAGACGGTCCACACCGTCTGTCGGTCTACCAAATGCAAAGCATGAGAAGGGCTTATGAAGTCCCAGACGGTGTATAACCGTCTGTGGTTCTACTCAAGTTAAGAAAGAAAATCAAGTCAGACGGTACCTAGGAGAATTAAGAGAAGTAGTCCTCAGTCGGTATCCATATGCGTTTCAATGAAGCAACTGGTTGCACAAACTAGCAGCCGGTGTTAGAGCTCTCAAGAAAATTCTGAAAAAATTTGTAAAGTGAAGAGGAGAGAGGGGATGCGCCTCAATTTATAGGCAAAGACTAGAAGGCGAATCGCCACCTTCTGTCTTGAATTTTCGAATTTTGAATCCAGGAGAAAGAGGCGGGAAGCAACTCAATCGTCGCCTCCTCTTTGCTTGACACCTATCACAGGTGACACGTGGCTACGCCACGTCACACCTGTGAGGAGCAAATGTTTGGGGTAAAAATACCCTATGGCACGTGGCCCAGTAGAATCGTGACATGTGGCAGCCCACCAAAGGCTCAACGGGATCCAATCGGATGCTGCCATGTGGCATCAAAACCCTAATCAGGGAACATGTCTCCCCCACTATAAATAGAGGAATCCTCCTCATTTATTGGGCATTCAAAAATACATACACGAAACCCGAGCAATATTAATTGCGGAATCTCTCTGAATCAGTGAGAAAAATCTATTTACCTTCCGTATATTTACCCATCCGTAAATCATACTAACTTGACCGTCGGAGGCGGAACTCCACTCAACCGGAGTCCCGTGGTTTTGCAGGTACAGAAGTCAGGCGCGCATACTCCGTATTGTAACTCTCCCGAGGGACTATAAACACCCGAAACAGGTAAAATTAAGAAAATCAAAATTTTTAAGTAAGGGTAAATATGTAATTTTCAGGATTTTTGTTTACTAAAAATAGAAAGAAAACTAAGAGTTGCACATAACTCTGATCATTTCAAAATGACAAAAGTTGCACATAATATTTAACGGAGGTAGTAATAACCTTGGCCAAAATCAGCTCGATTCAAATTTCAAATGACCCAATTTCCGCTAATAGTAGTCAATCCCGAAGCAAATATTTACACTGGTCAAGCTAAAGGCTTCTTAGGATCATAAGCAGTTACCCACTTGCCAACTGCAATTTAGCAAGTACGAGAATTAAACTAGCAACAGGAACTAGCAACTGGCAATTGCTGTATTAAAAAAGTTATTTTCAATATAAATCGTATACGAAGTATGCTTTATTTAATTGTTTGTTTGTTTGTTTTTTTAAAAAAAATCAACAGTTTTTTTTTTTTTTTTTTTTTTTTTTTTTTTTTTTTTTAATTTATCATGCAATAATAGTAACATACTCGGTATTACACAGTTACAAACTAACGGTTGATTTATATTTCGTATAAATTAATAAAATAAATATAGTTAAAATAATACTTCCTCTGTTTGTTTCTTTTTAGCTGACATGTTTTTTTAGTCACGTTTGCTAATGAACAACTTTAACTATTAATATCTTTCATTACGGATAAATAAAAATTATAAAAAGTTGATATTTTGAAAATATAAATCGTGACGAATCTAATAACATTGCACATGACTATATTTTTCATTATGTATAAACTACAAAACACGGTTAAAAGGGAGTGAGTAAATAGTGCTAAAGTCAAAATGTGTCCACTAAACAAAACGAAGATAATATATGAATAATCGTAGCGAATATTCAAGAATGAAGGGATATTGTTTTAATAAATTAAAATCCAATTTAACAATATTTTTTCTTACAAATTATTGCAGTTAAAGGCTGACACGCACTCTAAACCAGAAAAATTCAAATAAGACAGGATTAGATCATCATCTTAATTCAAAGGAAGAGAACGAGTCCATAATCTAATCCGAAGTCGGATTGGAATATGCCTCAATAAAAAGGGAAGCCAAATTGAAGACTGAGACATTAACGTAGGTAGCTTAGCTAGCTAAGTACCACTACCACCAAAAGTAACCATCCGACTCACGTAGAAAGGCCTCATTAATTATACCCAGCTGACTGCTGACCTCAATCAATCTAAATGTTCCCATACCCACTTGCCAAATGCTATTTATCAAGTAGCAACTGCCAACTTTATTATTATTATTATTATTATTATTATTATTATTATTATAAAAATAACAAAAACCTATTATTTATTCATTTATTTTTGAGTAAAACAACTGCCAACTTCTTTACTCCAACAAAATTCTTGTGTTTCTATAAATACCCTTTCCTCTCGATTCTTTGTTTCAACTCATATCAATTAATATCCTTTCCAACAAACTCTCCCCTTCTTTCAACTAACCCAAAAACAAATTTAAGTTAAGTTGAAAGGCACAAAACACGCCTCTAAATACATGTTGTACTTATAAACACTAATTGTGAATACGAGCGATAATCAATATAATTAAAGTTACCTGATATAAATAAAATGGTGTGTTTTTGCTTCCTAGTTGATCAACAACGTCAAGTAAGGAAGAGCAAACCGGCTGCCGGTACGTGTTCGCGGTGTGGTGGTGGTGCTAGTGTTGCTGATATGAAGACCGCTACTCGTTTCTGTCATATACCATTTTATTGGAAGTCTTGGCGAGCTATTATGTGTACCTTTTGTGGATCAATTCTCAAGTCTTACCACTGAAATTAGTTTTTTATATACAATTTTTTATGGGGTTCTTTTTCTCTTTTGTGTAAGAAGGATACTATTATATTATTATATACAAGTATACATGATAATACATTCTTTTGATGGCATATATATGTTCTCCCATATCTTTTTATTGATTATAATTAAAAAAAAAAATAAGGGAGAAATGTCATAGCAAATTCAATTAAGATTTGCTTTTCTTGGTAATGAATTTCTTTTTTTTATTAATGTTTTATTTTTTGTGTTTTATTTAAGATTTTTATAGTTTAATTGTGGCATTTTGGCAAAATCTTGAGTAGTTATGGGATGAGAAAATACATGTTAATATCTCATATAAACAACTTTTGTTAATACATGTTATGGGATTGTGTAGTTTTTTGTTGCACGTTTTCTTGCTACTCTAAAGTCAATACAATGGCTTGATGTGGATGATGATGAAAATATAGAAATTAGAGGTGGAAACGACTCAAACGAGTGAGAATCCTATTCTTTTTCCATATCTATGTTGTTTTTTTTTTCCTCCTTTTTTTATTATATGATTTTTATTATTACAAAGTTTAAAATTTCATATGTGGTTGGGTTACTTGGTCAGGGGTTAGTCGATCGGTCAGAGGTTAATTACTCGACCAGGGTTTACTTGATCGGGGTTATTTAAGGTCAATGTTATTATATTAATTTTATAAAAATTTACATATTTTTTACAAGTATAATAGAGAAAGATGATTTTGCTACGAAAATTAAATAGAGAACAGGCTATTTTCATGGCATTAATGACATAATTAGATATCTTTGATGCCTTAGTGTTAATTTTGAGCAAAACAGTTTTAGCAGGTCTATATATGTTGATGTTTGATTGAATTTGGTTTTGAATGACAATATAAACTTCAAATCCTTTGCTTTTAGCTGCAGCTTACAAAATTTTATCTATGATATAACTATGAATTATTCAAGAGTTGGCTAAGAGATGATGCGTAACATAGGCAATAATGTAATAGAAAAAATTTGAAAGGCAATAAAGATGATTAACACGAGAAATTTATGTGGTTCGGTCAATGTAACCGATTCCACAAGGAAAATAATATTAGCGCAGCCACATATGTAAGGTCATCACCTAAAGATGCTAAGAAAACGAAGGGAAGATACTTAAAACACATATATTAATCACTTCGTGTCATTTTACAAAATAGAAAGAAAAAAAAAAAAAAAAATTCAAAATGTGTCAGCTATCACAATCTTAAATTGAACATTCCTTCTTGAAACTCTGTACAAGAAAATCCAATTAAAAATCTAATAGCCAAAGACGTAATTGATTCAAACCTATGTATATGTTGCGCAAGGCTTATGACAAAGTTTAGTGGAATTTCCTACTTTAGGCCCTTTGAGTGTATATTGAATCGTATAGTGTATCTCAACAATGTCTTTTAAAATTTCCTTAAGAGAAAAACATCAATCAATTTAAGCTAAAATTTTCTTAAGGCGATCCCCTTTCTCCCTATCCTATTATATCCGGATCTTGGACGTATCATCACCTGATTCAAGGCATGTGTTAGTCTAACTAGAATAAGTCTGAAGATTTCAAATATGTTCTTTGTTGATGATGAGCTCCTCAATCATCTTCTTCAAAGCAGCCCTTGAAATTGCCTTAGTCTAATAAATATCATTTCCCAATTTTACAAAATCACATGTCATGTAGTTATACTATATCTTTATGGGTCTCATTTTAAAGCGTTAGATTATGCCTTAAATCAACACTGATTAGGTACACGACCATATGCTTCATTGTACATGATCGTATACCGTACTGCTATTCCGCAATGCACAGTACATGACGGTGTTGTTCATATAGTACATGACCGTGTAGTTGGATGCACGACTATATTGGTTTGGGCCGTAGTTTTCTATTTAGTGCAATTCTGTTTTTGACATTTTGTTCTAGGGAGTACTACAAAAACTCTTTTAGGGTTATTCCTTTGTCGAATTCCACTTTGATCTATTAGGTCAGTAGAAAGTCTGAGCTCTTACAGTGGATATATATCTAACAATTTAAAATATGGGATTATCATCTGTCATCATTTTGTTGCTTGTTCAAAATCTGTTTTGTTTATTAGTAATGTGTACGTATTTTGTTTATTACTTTTCCTATATTTACCTTGTGAAAGTAGCCAATATATTGTCAGTGAACCATGTAAATATGTGTGTGTTTCTTGTCGATTTCATTATTTTTCTTGCAATTGTTATAACAGACTAGCACTACTAGAAAATAGGCGATTTCCGATGGAATAATATGTGTGTGTTTCTTGTCGATTTCATTATTTTTCTTGCAATTGTTATGACAGACTAGCACTACTAAAAAACAGGGCGATTTCCGACGGAATTATTCAGTCAGAAATACCATGTTTTCTGTTGGAAAACGTGTTTCCGACGGAATTCTGTCGGAAAATGGTCATTGGTAACGTATGTGTCAGAAATACGACCTTTTCCGACAGAATTCCCGTCGGAAACACTTTTTCGACGGAATTTCGGGCGTCGGATGAGATTCTCCGGCTCGGAAATTCCGTCACGAATAGTTTTCCACCGGAAATTCCGTCAAAAACTCCTACCAAGAAATAAAAATAAAAAGAAAAAGCCCACATCACCACCGCTACCAGTCCCCACCGCCACTACGTGCATCCGAACTAACCCACCAAACCCACCACCTTAACCCACCTAACCTAGGGGTGAGCATAGGTCGGGTACCCGTACTGTTAACAGTATCAGTTCGGGTACCCGATAACTAATAGCACTAAATATGATATCCATTAACCGAACCGATAAGTTCGGGTACCCGGATTTTCGAATCGGTTATCGGGTACCCAATATGTTATGAAAATTTAGACTTTATAATCAAGTTATTATGATATCATTCAACACTAATTAACAATAATACCACATGATCATGACCAAATTACGAATAATATTACTAATCATTGAAACTATAAAGTGATTATGAAGTAAATTAAGAGTTCAGATTTTGGATAAATATATTTAAGTAGGAAAAAAAATGAAAAAATTGCTTAACGGATCGGATCGGGTAACCATTAATTTTAAAATGATACCCAATAACTGTACCAGATAACGAATTATCGAATCGGGTGCCCGAACCGTTATGATTATCGGATCGAATACTCTAATTTTCAGTTCGGCTACGGTTTGAATTTTAGATTTTTCGAATAATTTTGCTCAACCCTTGTTCTAACCCGTCTAGATGAGCGTGACGTGACCACGATTTATCAAACAATCTCAAGAATCCAAATACAAATGTACTAGCTAGTAAATAACTTGCCCTGCAACTCTGCAAGTAGCCAAAGCCTAGTAAGATCACACAAGATTGTATGTCTAAGTGACTAAGTCAAAATCATGGAGGGAAATCTCTACACTACAATTATTCAACCTGTACAAAGATACGAGCGAAATTAAATTTGTACAATAGGTTCACTAAGCCTTCGCCACGTCGCTACACAATTAAATTCAACAATCCTTTTATCAGTTTTCAGATAAAATATCTTATAGTATATGATTTGCAACACTGATTACATACTCACCAAGGCCCTGGTCTTTTGAGCTTCTGGGCAGAGCAGAGAAGGACAGAGCAGATTTTAATAGAACAGAGTGGAGTACAGTTTTCATCAAAGCAGAGCAGAGCAACGTAGATTTCAGCATTATTATTATTATTATTATTATTATTATTATTATTATTATTATTATTATTATTATTATTATTATTATTATTATTATTATTATTATTATTATTATTATTATTATTATTATTATTATTATTATTATTATTATTATTATTATTATTATTATTATTATTATTATTATTATTATTGATTAGGGGATTTTGCTCCCACCAATCGGAATGCGCCACGTGGGCCAATCAGGTCCTCCCAAGTGTCCCCCAGTTGGACCTCTCAGGGCTTGCCACGTGGCACACACTTATTCGTCCACCCTGGACTTATTATGTCATGACACGTGGCATACTCCATGCCTAATGGAGAAGCCGGTCGCCTAGGCCCAACTTCCGAGGGAAGCCCAATCAGCCCAAGGTTAACCTAAACCTAGATTGGCACGTTTCCCGAGGTTATAAATACCTCCCTTAATCCTCATTAAGGGAGATTACGCAAAAAAAACGCAGATTACACACATTAAACACTCTCACCTAGAGAGACCCATTCACTTTAATTTCCGCATTAATTACTCCTTAATCAAGTACTAACTTGACCGTCGGAGGCGGATCTCCAATCATCCGGAGCATCCGTTTGTTTTGCAGGTACAGCCGTCCGGTTCCAGTCTCGGAATTGTAACTCTCCCGCAGGACATCAGAAAACCCCGAAACATCTTGGCGCCGTCTGTGGGGAGAGTACTTCTGAGATGGCATCCACGTCTGTACCGACTCCTGAAGAGAGGCGTCCCCTAGACGACCCTCAAGTTCAGTCGGACCACGATACTGAGAATGAATTTGAAGTTGAAGCTCACACAGCTTCAGACGGGACCCTAAGGGCCCGATGTACCCGTCATACCGAAAGGAGGGAACGGGAACATCTTCAAACTGGAAGCGAGCCAGCAGGCGCACCGCCTGTTCGGCAGCAGCCGACTGATGGGTCTGCTCCCATCACAAGGAACGAACTCATGACCTTCATGAGGGACTTAAAGGGAGAAATTCAAGAGTTGATCAACAAGAAGCCGCCTGCTCTGGACAAGGAGCAGTCGGCTAAGAAACCCTCCACTTCACAGAAGAGGAAGCCAATTCAAGGGCGAGAGGCGACCCCTTATCCTAAATCTAGGAAGTGGGAGCCACCTGCCCTTGATTTCACAAAATACCGTTTTCCTACTCCAGGAAATAGGAAACCTGTTTGTCATATTCAGGCGGACGGGTCGAGGAAAACATACACAGACGTTCGGCTACTGCTAGAGCAGAAGAAGAGTGACCGATTGTCAGAGTCGGCCTCTACTTCAAACTTCCAAGACAGTCTGCGAAATACCTCGATGAGGCATACTTAGTCGTATCATGAGGGTCAGTCAGGCGGCACCTCCCGTCAGTCCGGCTTTCATAGCGACCAGGCGGTACCAAACTTACCGTTTGTACCGCAACAACAGTATTTTTTGCAGCCACCTCCGTTTGGTGGACATGCAGCAAAAAATGTCCAACCTATGGACTGGCAGCTACGGTTGCTTAGACTTGGTGAACAGCCGTCGGCCTTCTCCAAGGAAATTACTGAAGCCGCTCAGCCGGACAAAGTGAAATATGTATTAGTAGGCGCCTATGACGGCACTACTAACCCAGAAGACCATCTGATGGCATTCACCAACCTGATGTACCTTCAAGGGTTGGA